TATTAGCTGTGAGTTCAAGACACTCGACGTACCAGATTTCAAGTGTGGATCCTCTGCAACGACGAAACCAGGGAAGTTTCGGATTAAGATAACGCCACGAGAAAGCAGGAACGACTCGATATCGTTGGCCAATGATGGATTCGTCGTCTTGGCACACTGGATCGCTGTCATTCTGTTTTGGTTTGGAAGGAGGAGTTCTTTCACGAAAGCATCAATTGGAAGGAACGCCATTGCATTCGCGTATAATTCACGGTCTCCGGTAGCTGCTGCGAAGTGGAACAGCTGAATGTGCAGGTCACGAGCTTGTTCCAATAACTGGAGTAGTTGCGTCGTGTCCGGTGTTTGCTTGACGTGCTGTATCAAATCTTGGACAGTGATGCTCTCCAACGTATCGACATGGACGAAGTCAGAAGGATGGTCGTTCACAATACGAGGTTTCGAAGGCGATGGGAGCTCCATACTTGAGATCGGGGAATGATTGAGCATTTGACGCAAGTTTTGCTGGTTATTTCATAGAGTTTGCTTTTGTTTCCCTTTTAGTCCCAAACATTCAACTGCCATAACATGATGAACCTTTCCAGGAAAGCAGCGAGTACTGTGCTCTCTACTCTACAAAATATTATATCGCGACTGGTCCTGTAGCACTCTCTACTGCATGCACTGCTGGTATAGCAGCGATGCCACGTACTTGAGTGCTTGCAGCTGATTTCGTAAATAATACTAATTCGAGCTTTTAACTGGTCGAAATAATGCTCACGACCGATTATCCACTGGTTGAAATTCCTCTCCCTTGGCTATATTTGCAGTTTCACTGGTCTAGCTGATTGGACAGCGATGTACGTTTTCCCCCGAAAACCTGGCCAGCGTCAGAACCAACAAGCGCCAAGAAGCAGCAAGTCCCTGACTCGGAGCCCCAGCTCTTGTGGCCCCTCTCTCCCTCTCTACCCCCTCTCTTCAAGCCGACATGTCTGCCCCCAACGCTGCCGACGATCAGGTGGAGCTCTTCAAGGTCAAGAAGCTCATCAAGTCTCTCCAAGCCGCTCGCGGGTACGTCATCCTCACTCCTTTGAAATTACTAATTTCGGTCCGAAAAGCCGTCGTTGTCGATGTACCCGATGTCCCCCGT